TAATGCAGTACTTTTAATTGTGATTGTTAGTTAATTATTGATTATTTTAGTGAACATATTTCTCTTAGTAAGAAGAAAGGAATAGTATACTTTTGTTAACTTTTGGAATCTAACTCCATGTTTTGTATTAGTCCTTTGTTTTGTATAACATTGATTTGCATAATACTGCACTTTTTTTGGAATGCATCTAGTATGTTTTACGAGAGATATCTGTACATGCCTACTTTCTCCTCTTTCTTTAATGTATCTTTGTCCTTCCTTAATATACTGTAAATATTTGGCACTCTTTTGAAAATTAGTTTAGAGTCTATGTGGTCTGCTATTTCTTTCATAATAATCTTCACATTCTTGTTAAAGTAAACTTTGTGATTTTATCGAGTCTGCCATTTTGAGTCTGGTCTGTTTCCTTCATAATTTCTAATCAGTCCTGTTATCATGCTAGTTTTGTATCCCAGGGTTTTTGTCATTTCTTTAATTCTACTAAGTTCTTTCAGTCTGTCATGTACAGTACAGTACTGCAATACAAATATGCTCTTCTAATGAGGGCCTGGAATGTTGCTAGTTTGTATCAATAAGGATTATTCAAATTAGATGGAATGTAGAATGGGCTATGTGTTGGTTTAACTTATACGCTGGTGGCCAAATTTCCTCTTTTAATTACGATGTTTGTCTAGAAAAATGTATCTTTAATGAACTCTTAAATTCCATCTTTAGTTTTAGTTCATTGTTACTATTAATTCACTAATTCTTTTGTTACTTTTCCAAATGATACAAAGGTTGCCTACATATCATTTAAAATACATGATATCTACCATGAAGTCATTTAAAATACTTTAATTGGAGAATATTTTTTCTCCCATTTTCACAACACTAGTTTGCATAACAATCCTGATACTGAACTCTCTTTGGGGATCCCTTTGTTTTATCTGTACATCTGGTTATTAAACCTAAACAATTATTTATAACACACTAAGTTGGCTAACTCTATCATTTCCTTGGAAAATTAATTAATTCTGGGATCTGTTGGAGCATAAATTCTATTAGTGCTTGAAAATGTGATTATTCTTTTTGAAGGATATACTCTCTCAAAGTCCATTATGGTTCCAATTTCTTCTTCCATTAACGTTACAGTTTCATTTCTTCTTGTAGTTTTCTAAACACCTTTCCTAGGTCTTGTGTAACTGATATACTACACTCTAGTCAGTTGGTGATGAACCTATGGAAGTGTTTCTCCAGACTGTATGTCAGCCCTCTACATTTTTCTTCTACTGGGCTAACTTCCTTATGCATTTTAGTGAATGCAAATACTCTTGGCATCCCCAGTCTTTGGTTTTGACATCATTTACAGTAAGTTAATATTGAAGCAAGCTTATTTCCATCAAGTATTTTGACTCTTTTATTGATGTTATCTACAATATATTTTAACTGTTATCTACAGTTAAAATATATTGTAGAACTGGAAGAGATTACATTAAAAGTGCCAACTAATATGTAATTCAGTTAAAATGAACCAATTTATTATAAGAGCAAATGTTTTTAACTGTCTTTAATAGTCATCTTCAGGTTATGGAATGTTACATAGAGCAAAATTCAAAAAATAAAATGTGAATAAAATAGAAATTTTTAAATTCATTCTGGTGGCTGTATGTGTAAAAGAATGTTGAAGAAAAATAAAATTCAGTTAAAATAAAATACAAAACAATATACATATGTACATATTTGTACTTATATTATATAACAAATTAAAAAATTTGTTATATAATATAAGTACAAATAAAAATAATAAATATAAAAAGAAAAATCAAAATAAAAGTAACTAAAAATATATATTTAAAACTATAAATGTTTATAAATAGCCTTCCATGCATTTGATACTGAAGATGTGTCCTTAAAATTAACAGCATTTCTTAGTCACTTTGTAAATTTCAAAGTTTTTGAGATACTTGAGCTATGCAGGAACAGATGTTCTACATAAGAGACATGCATTATGAAAGGCTATATGCAGTCGTATTTTTATCTAGATTTTAAAAACATGATATGTAAATGAACTTTATGATTTTGCAGTGAAAATTAGTTGAAAGTGTTTGAATTCAATTACGAAATTACCAAAATGCACTCAGCAAATAATTAGTAGACCATTAAAGTACACCATAAGTTGCCATGTTTGAATTTTGTTGATGAGTTGTGAGAAATGCTTTATATATGTTTAGTTATTTTTATTTATTTATTTTTAATATTTGTTATTTTTGTTTGTGTCTACAAGTAAAAATATACAAATATAAAAAATTTGCTTTATCTTACTTTACCTAACAAATATAAAAAATTTATGTTATACATTTACTTTTTTTAACTTCTGTTATATTGTCTTGAATATTGTATTTTAATTTTTTTCAACATTGTTTTGTGGATGCAACCAGCAGCACACATTTAACAAGTTTACTTTATTTAAAGTTTTGAATTTAATTTAAAAATACTTAAACACATATTAATTGCATTTAAGCATTTGGATAAATAAGTAGGTATTTTTTGGGAAAAATAAAACTGAGCTCTGCAACATAGCTTTTACTGTTTTGGCTTCATATGGAAACACACATGTGGTAACATGCTTCTAACTTTGTCTAAAGCAGTTTGAAACCTGCAGGTTCAAGGAAGAATATGAATGTCCAATGTCCAAACCAACAAAAATGGCAAGAAACATTAAAACATTTACATGTCAGCCAGCAGCATATCAATTCTAGCAATCAGTTAAAACACACATATGCAGCCACAGAACCACACATGTGCATGTTTCAAAAATTGATTTCATCATGACATCTTAGTGGTAACATCTTTCTCTTAGCCTCCTCCTTTCTGTCATGATAAATTAACACATGCCTCATCAATAAGTGTAGAAAATGTTTGAAACATTCTGAAGAAAATGGAGTCTAAAAATAGAGCTACAACCCATAGAAGAATTAAAGAAGACAGTCAGGGTTGGAGATTAATCCATAATTATGTAAAACACTTATTTCTACAATACCACAAAGAATTGTGGCTGTAATTAGAGCAAAAGGTAGCCTTACAAAATACTAATCTTTGGTATTTCTTACTTTTGCTTCATGTTTTTCATGATTCCATACTTTCATTCAACTCTTACTTTGTTTAAAATGCTGTAACTTTGTAATTTATACAAACAACTTTACAATGTTCGGTGTGTAAATTCTTTAATGTTTCTATTACATTGTCAGTTGTTAAAAGTTCAGTAATATTTTTATGAATTTGATTATTTTTTGTTCAAAATAATTTTCCCATAACATTTACAAAATATTCCATACTTTTGTTCAGGGATTATATGTAAAAGAATGATTAGGTTCACCATGCCAAAATATTATCCAATTAAAGAACAAGGTAACCACTGCCTATCAGAGTTATTGTTTAATGCCAATAGACAGTGGTTAGCTCTTTCTTTAATTGATTGTATCTATAATATATTTTTTGACAGATGATATAGTTATAGCTTTGAGAAGGCAGGAGATAATGCAAAAGTTTATAGATGGTAGTGGAATACAATAAGAAACTTAGGTATATATATATATAGAGAGAGAAATCACAAAGAAGTTGCCATCTAGGATAGGCTATCTCAGGAACACACAGTGTTCTTCTTGCTTAAGAATTGCATAGAACATGAACTTTTGGTCATTGGTTTCTGACAAAATTAACATTTTAAAATAAAATTGTCACAATAAATTCTAAAAAATTACAAATTCAGTTTTAACTACTTATTTTTTTCTGTGTATGTTTTATTTATTAAAAGTTTGTTTTTCATTATTTATCTCTTATTATAGATTAACAGATAGGGAATTTTAAACAATATATTTGAATGTTCTACAATTTTTTCTTTTGTGTTTTTAAGTTTTATAATCTTAATCATAAAATATTCAGATAGTATTCTTATATACAAGGTCTGTTCAAAAAGTATCAGACCTTTTTTTTCCGCGTAAACCAATGATGCGAGAGAGGCCTCCTTCGGTGGAGTTGTGGAGGGGACAGTCATGCACAGCCCTGAATTTTTTCCCGCCTGCAGAAAGCGTCAGTCGTTGGCAATCGGCGTATGAGTGAGGTCATGTAGTGCGCTCTCGTCGGATTTCACTAAGCTGGAAAATGACTGAACAACGTGAGCAGCGATATTACATCAAATTTTGCCAAAAACCTTGGCGATACCCGAGTGTAAACCATTCGCAAGATTCAGCAGGCTTTCGGGGACGATCCTCGAGGCCAAAAAAAGCGCGGCAGGTCCGCAGCAATATCAAAGGTCATGTTGACAGTTTTTTCGACTCTCGTGGGGTGGTGTGTCGTGAGTACGCACCACAAGGCCAAACCATCCCAAAGGAGTACTACCAGGAGGTCCTTCGTCGTCTTTCCGATACAGTGCGATGCAAACGATGGGATCTGTGGTCGATCAAAACTTGGCAGCTCCATCGTGATAACGCATCCGCCCATTCTGCGCATCTGATTCGGGCTTTCGTCGCCAAACACAATACTCCTGTGGTTCGTCACGCTCCGTACTCTCTCCACATGGCTCCGTGTGACCTTTGGCTATTTCTCAAGCTGAAAATGCCGCTAAAAGGAACCCAAATTTAGTCGAGAGAAGACATCATGCGAAATGCGACGGACCGGCTTATAACCATTCCAAAAGATGCGTTCCAGCAGTGTTTCCAGCAATGGCAGGAACGCTGGGAGAAGTGTATACATTACCAAGGAGACTACTTTGAAGGGGATTACGGTTTTGTACCTCAAAGTCAATAAATTTATTTTTGCTGACCAAAGGTCCGATACTTTTTGAACAGACCTTGTATTATGTTGTATTAAAGAAATAAGTATTAAAATTAGTTTTTATTTTAATGTTACCACATGTGCATTTTTTAATCTAGCAAGAAAGTATTTTTACTTTAGTGAAAGATTATTGTTTTATGAAAGTAATAGATTTTATCTTAAAATAAAATAATAATTTTGTTTTCTAGGTGTATTCGCTTGCTGATTTACTTCATTATTGCATTATTGTTTGCAATCAGATTTGCTCTCATCTGCATATAAAAATGTTCCAAATATCCCCAAGACTTATTGCAGGCAAGTTAACTTCTAAACAGTTTGAAAACAGCTGTGTCAACTCCTCTTCACTTAATGACAAATTGAATCATATTTTTTAATCTGGTTTCAAAATTTTAATATTGATTTGTTATTATTGTTTAATATATTGTCTTTCAATTATTAATATAGTTTGTCTATCCAAAGTAATATCAACATAACTTTATTAATATTAGCCAATGATCAAAGATACAATGCTTTGTCTTGTTTAATGTGAAATAAATAATTTATGGTAGTTAAAATCAGAAATTAGCAATTTGTTGCTATAATTAGTTTAAAAATTTTGCAATTTCTTTGGCTAGACAAATGATAGCTGTTTAATTTTAATGAAGTACTTCTAATTTTTAATTAACTGAATATATTTTACAGCATTGTATTTTTGTTATAAAAGTAGGCTTTATTTTAAATTATTTATTTGTTTTTTCTGTTAAGTACAAAAGCATTATTCATTATTCTTACTTAATAAACATTTTTTAAAATAGTTCTTTCTAATTATTTATATTTAAAAGGCTCGATTATAAATTTGTGTTTATGGTTAAGAAAGATAATATTTGTTTTCATAAATATAATTTTCATTATGTATAAATAATTACTTATGTATTATATATGGGGTGACTGAAAATTTTGCAATATAGGAATATTATAAGATCTGAAACAAAATATTTTTTATTTATGTTCAAAGTACTCTCCTCTGGCCAAAATGCACTATAAAGTTGCGTTTTCCAAAGATGAAAAGCATGATGCCATGTACATTTTGGAATACTATAAAAATACTCTGTCACAAGAGCTTCAATTTCATCCTCTCTGTTAATTTTGCAACTCCTCAAATGTTTTTTAGATAGAAAAATAGCCAGAAGTCACACATTGCCAAATCTGGTGAATAAGGTGAATGTTCAATGATTCTGGTATTAGTTTGAAGGAAATCAACAGTCTGCTTGGCAGTGTGTGATGAAGCATTATCATGATGCAAAATTAGAACTTGAATTTTCAGTGACTCCAGAATTGTAGGAAGACAAACTGTGGTGTACCTATTAGCTGTTACTGTGTTCTGTTCTTCAAGCTTAATAGCTTTCATCAGACCAGTGCTACAGAAAAAAATGTGACTTTTTTTATTTCTCTCTACCATTTCATGTTTTTGGAATTGGATTATCTTTATGGATCCATACCCAGCTTTCTTGACATGTGGGATGATTATAAAATGGTATGTATGTCTCATCACCTGTGACAATTTTGGAAAAAATCAGGTGTCCACTTTGGTTCAACATCTCTAGTTTTCTTAATGATCTTGACATTCTCTGACTTTTGGAAATCTGTTAACTGATGAGAAGTCCATCACAACAGTACTTATTTTTAACTGTAATTCATTATGCAGAATGTCTGCAACTGCAGAGGCTCCAATCTGTAGTCTCTCCTGTATCATTTCATAGGCACATTTTTGGTCTTCTGCAATCATACATTGGACAACAGTTACATTTTCAATAGTCACAGTTGTCTTCTGGTCATCCTTCACATGGTTTATCGTGGAAGGAAGTATGACCCCTCTGAAATTCTTTGTACCACCTGAACACAGTAGTAAAGGATGGGGCATCATCCTTAAAGGCCAGTTCAGTCATCATGACATTCTTTGTCATTCAGTCCAACACAAAAATCATAGTAAATCATTGTATGAAGTACTTCTCTAGAAAATTCTATTGTTCTACTCATAATTGCTCAGACTGGAGTGGGAAGTATAGTTCAGAACCTTCTTAAATAAATTTCCAGAATGTTATCACCTTTAGAATGACTAACATTTTCAATCCTTTATCTGCGTTTTTGTCATGTCAATTGTTGTAGAATCGGAATGTTTCAAACATTGCTGCAGACAGCAACATCCAGGCCAATCTTTAGAACACCATCATCATTAGGAGAGCCAAACGTTTAGAAAATATTAGGGCTTTGGAATTACTAGAAATATATAGGACTGAAATGAAAAACAAGGGAGAAGTATTAATTTCAAGGTAGAAAATCAATTGTTCTAAGCATAGCAGATATTACTTTAAAACTACAATTTGATGTATTTATAACATTAAAATAAAATTTGAAGTGGTATCCATTTGAATTGCTCATAATATTTATATTGCACTTTATGATAATGACGTCACACAACAAATTTAAACCTGGAGACATATTCAATAAATGGAACATTTAAGAAACAGATATTTACCAAAAATGTTTGCAATGATGTTCGATTTACAAAATGCAGAATTTGCAATGATGTTTGAAACGCTCCAATTCTAGAATAGTTGACCTGAGAAGATCCAGATAAAGGATTGAAAATGTTAGTCATTTTAAAGGTGATAAACTACTGGAGATATATTAAAGAAGATTCTATAAGAGGTTTTGAACTAAGTTCTATTGTAACTATTAGAAACAAGGCCTATCTTACTTAGATTAAGGGAGATTGATGAAATTTGTTTATGCATAATATGTTGTAAAAGTTTATTATTTAGAAAAAAAAAACAGTTTAATTCATCATGGATGGTTTTCGTGTATTGCAAAACTTTCAGAGCAACTTTTGTATAATGAGTTCATCACATTTTAGATTATCAATTTTCTGACAATTCAGACTATACAATTTGAGAAGTTCAAGAAATATATCTTTTCTTACTTTTTAATTATTGACAGTCTGAAGTTCATTAATGTGTAATAATTGTTTAACAGATTAAAGAAATTTTATGATCCCTCTGTCAGGGATGCAGAATATGTCCAATTGCACAAACATGGTTCAGAGGAAATCAAAGCAGTCCCAGGAAAATTTGTGGTAAAAAAAGAAAATATAATTGTGGTAATTGCTGAAAAAATGCTAACATAAAATAGAGTAGTGTCTCAGTTGTCTCAGTTAAGACTGCAGGCATCAAATATAAATTTTGAGTTTTAAATGCAAAAATTGGAATGTTGTTTACTTTTTATGAACAGTTCAGTCACTTGTTAATTGCTGCCTACTTACAGGGTTATGTATTGTACTTTCAATAAGGATGAGTAGGTCTTGCTTAATTGTAAAACTGGTTTTGATTTTTATGAAAAACCAAAACATGGCTTTAAAAACATCAGAAAAAGAAATTTCATTTTAATTTCAAAACTCTCTATTTGATTCTATTTAATAGGTAAAATTTCATCTTGGTTCAAAATGAAATATTCACTCATTTCCTGCTTGGAAAATTTACAAATTAATGAACTGCATTTAAAACCGTTTCCAAATTGTCTTGATTTAATACCTAAGTAGAAATTTTATCATCATTTTATAAACAGTATTTTCCTGTTTTTTTCAGATATATTTTAACACTAATATTTTTTATTTTACAATAAATTTAAAACAACATAAAAATATGGTAGTGTTTTCAAAACTTAAAAAATATAATAATAATGAAAATGTCAGTCAAAGACTCCATGTCAGTCAAAAACTCTAAAGAGTTTTTGACTGACATGGATGCTTCCATCATAACTAACGTAATATTAATCTACCGATTACTGGAGATAAAATCTATTCCTGCCAATACTTAATGCAGCTCATGCTTCATCTATGTTGAGTTTACCTCTTGTAAGGTGTCCCATCAATGGTTACTTTGCACAATGAAATATGACAAAAGTCCACTTTTCATTTGGGTAACCCTTATAGTTATCTTAACAAAGTAATTTACTTTTCATAGTTGTTCATTTATAAATTCTTATATAATAAAACTGAAAATATTTCTTAATAAAATCAATTATTCATTTACTTACATGTTCTGACTTTAATTATTTTTCACATTAAAAAATACATTCCAGAAAAGCCAACTTCAATTAAAATATAAATTAAAAATTGTTATTGTTAATGTTTTTCATAATTTGTTATTATTGAAAGTGGTACAGGTTCATTTGTAGTTAAAAATTGTTTAATTTCTTAAACAATTTTATTAATTATTATTATATAATAAACTTTAACAAGTTTATAGTTTTAAAAATATTACCCAAATTTATTAATGTTTTCCAACATTTTTTAATTGATTCAAATGCAAACCCTTAAATATTTCAATGTATGAATAGAAGGACTTATACTACTTTCAAAAACAATGGCTCATATATTAAAACATAATAAATATGAAAATATACAAAATAGGATGTTAAATTAATTAATAAATATATATTTTAAACTGATTATTGGTTGGGTTTTGCATGGCTTATTGTTTGGTTAAATTTAGAATATTCATGTACAAGCATAAAATTGCTTTTTCCAAAACTTATTATACAGGAAAACTGGCAATTCAAAAGACCATAGACTTTATTGAAACAGAAAATGCATTTCAGGTGTCATATTGTTCTTCAGTTCTCTTTACAAATATTTGAAAAATTAAACAATGTCAATATTTATCTTATGTTATTATCTTAGCTAAAATAATTACAAATAATCTCATCTAACCTTTTATTTAATGAGTACTTTGTATATAAATACTTTCATGTAATCTTTTTCCCAATACAAATTTGATTTCTTTTTCCAACTAAAATTAATAAAAACATTAAAATATTCTTAAAACTATGAAAACTCTAAAATTCAATTAAAAATAACAACTTTCATTAAAATTGACAATGATTTTCTCATTACTTGGTATATCCTTCTATGCACTATCCCATGATGGATAGTGTATAGAATTAAAAAGTTGATGTAATAATGTTGATTAAAAGAAATAAAATTGAAGTGACTGCTGACATGACAAATGATCCATTTTTTCACTGCTGATACTTGATTAAATTAAATCATTCTTTTATTTAAAAAATGTTTATCAGTCTAGTGTTGTGGTTCAAATTATATGGTATAACTAATTATTTGTATGATTTAATTTGATTTTTTCAAACTATGTAGTAGTAATTATTACTTTATACATTATTCTCTTTTGTATGCCAGTGTGCAATAATTTTGGGGAAATTTTGGATCCTGAAAAAATTCTGCATCCCTGCTCTCTCTGAACACTGAGATCCAAAAGAATACTTTTATACTAATTCAGGATATGCTACTTGATTTATTACTTTTCTGAAAAACTTTAAAGTTTACATATGCATTGTAATTTATACAAAACTTTTTCTGTAATTTTAAAAAATCAAGTTAATTTTTAACTTTCTATAATATTACAAAATTACTAATGAGTTGCAAACTCATTATAATAATAGATTATTTGTTATTTCTTGAACTGAATTTTTTAAAAATTATCTATTGTATTTAAAATAAATTGATAAAATTATCTGAATGAACTATAATTTTTGAACAATAAATTTGTAACTTGAAGATATATTGGAAAAATTTTAGTTTTCCAAGATTGATCTTCTACTTTTTGCGTTATTTGTTTTAATGATATACTAGAAACTTAAAAACTTTCCTAAAACAATATAAATACCAAATTATAGCAATTTATATTTTTTTAAATTTAAAATTTTATAGTAATATAGTTTGGTATTTACACTGTAAATAATTGAAACTATATAAAACTTTTTATATAAAGTTAATTTGTAATCTTTCTATTGTAAAATAATGATTTTAATGAAATTGAATATACTTAATATATTCATATATTAATATAATTCTTTTTGTATAATTTTAAATAATATGTATAGTTAGAAATTTTGAAATTGCACTATCCAAAAGCTGGAACTTATATCTATGTTCAAGCAAGTTAACTTATGTACTTTTCCAGCTGTGAAGTAGATGATTTACAAACATTTTTGACTACATTTTCTAGTCTAGAATGCCTTAACATTCTAAAACATACTCGAATGTTTTTAACCCCTTTTGAGCCACCCATTTTTTTTAGAATTTTTAATTAAGCATAAAAAAATACTTAAAACTGAAAAAAACAAAGGAAATGCGTTAATTTTGAAGAAAAAGTTCAAAGTTTAACTTCCTTTGTCTCACCTTTCTGCGAAATTTGACACCAATGAGTCATTGTTTATATAGCTGGATGACCTTGAGAACATCTGGTGTAGGATTTCCTGGGACATTCTCATAGACGTCCTAGGAGGACAAGGGTTAAAAGTAGGGTGAATACTAACTACACCTATATTTTTAAAAAATTAAAATTTTTATTGCGATTTCCGACCCCCGACTTAAACTTATATATAATAAAATCTATTAATTAAAAAAATTAAAAAACTATTGGAGGTCGTTTTTGATATCAGAAACTAGCTTTAAATAACTTTACCGAAGTCAAATCCGTGCACTACAACTTTAGAACAATTAATTAAATTTGATAAAAAGTCCCATTAAAAAATAACTAAAAAGCAATAAAGCATGAATCATGTGTCATTAAAGGTTTTTTAAAATCGCGATAAAATTTTTTCATATGGGAAAAAAATTTGGGGACCTAAAAAACATTCCAAAAATTGAAAAAAAAATTTTTTCTCGGGGGTCCTCACGCCTGGATTTTTGTAACGCTATGGCACTTGCTCGAGTCAGACTCAAGCGTGGGTAGGAAGGGGTAAATTATTATGCTTAATGACATGTGTTCCAAAATTAAAATGAATGATCATTATTGATTGAGACCAATTTCTTAGTAACATTTATAAAATTATGTAGATATTAGATTTTCACTTCATTCTCCCCATTTATGGTCATGAAATATTTGCCACATAGCCGACAATGTCTCACAATTCTGTGCGTTGATTCAGTTTGGTGTCTTTGGATGCTTTATAAATCTTCTGGATTTCCACAGTTTCAATGCATTCTTCATCGTAAACTTTCTTGATTAGTTTATCTTTCTCTAGATTCATCACCACCCTGGGCTTAATGGCATATCAAACCAATACTGTGACCATTTTGTTTTTTCTGTGTTAGTTATGTTCTTTTAATCATATTGAAAGTGATCAGCTTGTGGCTTCTATGTATACTAGTATACTATTATACATAGAAGCCACAAGCTGATCACTTTTAATATGATATTTTATGACCATAAATGGGGAGAATGAATATATATATCTCACTAACCTTATGAAGCTTTGCAAAGATTTTAACATATCACAAATAAGGCTATAGTGTTGATGAAGAGGGACTACTACACCACCATCTTACAGAAGTATATATGAGACACAGAATGTGAAGAGATAGAAAAGGACTTCATTGATAAGATACAGTTAAGAGTCCACAGGTTTACGAATACCCATCTAGCAAGAAAGTTACAGCTAGACAGCGTGACGATAGCATCACCAGCAGTTTCCAGACTCTTTGCCTATGCCAAAACACATAAACAAGGGATGGAACTTAGACCTATTTTAGACAAAACCAACACACCCACCAGAAAAATAGAGCAGAAGATCCACACGCTCCTGGCTAAAACACCTGGAGGGCTGTCAATTTACAGTCTCCAATTCAATGCAGATAATTAAGGCTATACAGAACTGCTTACCATCTGAAAACTTCTGGATTACTATTTTAGACTTTAAGGTGCTATACCTATTGGTTAAACTAGAGCCATGTTTCTGCAGTTTACAGGATTGGCTTATGACTAAAATAGCAAACAGTGTGGACCACAAACAAATACTGGAACTGTCTCATATGCTTTGTTTACACCTCATGCTTCCAATTAGATGGAAAGATGTTCCTTCAAAAAAGAGGAGTACCTATGGGTAGTCCCTTATCCAGGGACTTGGCCGAAATTGTGGTGCGGCTTTTGGAAGCCAAAATCATCTCCAGGTTCCTTTCTAATATCAAAATATATAATATGTATTCATCATCTGGAAAACAAAGCCGAACATTGAAGAATATATGAGCTGTATTAATAACAATCTGTATGGTGTTCGATTGAGGTAGAGCAAATGAGCAATAAAGAATTATTAACAAAGTTCCAAGGATTAATTTGTTGATTAAATCAATATTATGACCATACAAATAATTTGCATCTATACAGAGTTATCCTTTTTAATAGTCCAACTAGAGACAGATGGTTTTTAAGTTGTTACCATCTGTCTCTAGTTGGACTATTAAAAAGGATAACTCTGTATAGATGCAAATTATTTGTATGGTCATAATATTGATGAGCAGTAAAGAAGCTCACTTTTTAGACATTAGTATTGCCTTTAATGGCAACGGATATGATATTAACGTATACTGTAAACCAAGTGCTCGTTCTCCCAATATACATTCCGGCTGGCTCTAACAATCCCTATATTTACAAAATGGTGGCCTTTAGAGCACTTACTAGAAGAGCCCACATGCACTGTAATCAAGAACATGACAGGCGAAGGAAATAAAAAGAACAGCAAAAGTAGCTGAAAATCATATTTAAAATATGACAAAAAGTTAATATTTTAAATATTGACTTTTTGTTATATTTAAATACAAAAAGTTAATATTTAAAATAGCAGACAAGCAAGAAAGCCAACTCAAAGATCAATTGGGTATAGTTCCAGAAAGTAATCCGCAGCAAGATGCATCTCCCCATCGTATTATTATAACGTATGAGTGCCATATGCACTCCCTATATCGAGAAATTCAGGCATATACTAACTCAAAAATAGCATACAGATGTAAACCACAGTGGCGTGCCGTCATTGGAAGCAGTGGAAGTGCTGCTTCCATTATATTTTCTAAAAAATAAATACATATTAATTTTAATTATATGAAAATAATCGCACAATATTTTATTATAACTGCATTATGTATCTTATTACAAATATCTATACTACATGTGGAAAAAAAGATAAGATTGCTATTGTATATTTGAATATTAGTGGTAGAGTGGAAGTGCTGTATTGTCAACTTCCAAACAGCCAGATTTGTGCATGCACTTTTCAGAGCACCAATCTC